TTTTTTCAGATTGTAAATATTTAGACACAGAGGTGGGATGTTCTGTCAGATGGGGCGACCAGGTTGGGCGTGTGCAAGCAGCAGCCCTAACATGTCTTTGGGACAGTAAAACCCAGCTGTGGCACTTGTCTCTAGAGCCCAGCAGGAAAGCCCTCCCAGACTTGGGCTGGTGGTTAAGCCAGGCGTGTGGTTTCATAAGGGGGACAAAGCTCCAGTCCTTCCTTTCAGCTGGAGGGAGCCCACGGTGAGCCAGGCCAAGCTCAGGGCAGGTCTGGGAGCTCGGGCTTGCTGGGGTGCGGCTGCAGCAGCTCCTGTGTTCATGAGGTCACCTGGGTGGTGACACTCTAGCAGGGGGGCTTCTGAGACTGGTTGGGCATTTGTCCAGTGGCCTGGGTGGGCTGACCCAGCCCCAGGCTTCCTCCCTGCACCCTTCCCTGACTGGAGGACAGGGCGGGAGTGGATGAGGTGGGGAGAGTGGATGAGGTGGAATTTCTGAGCCCAGCTTGTGGTTTGCTCTCAGCTCTTCTGGTAAAGAATGTAGATTAAATGGCAGCAGAGGGGTCTCTGGGAAGGTAACGGGCTTGGGAATCATCCAGACTTGCGTTCAGGGCCTCACCCTGTGCTTTCGAGCCATGTGACCGGATAAACCACTTCACCTCTCTGAAATGCAGGGTTTTCACTGTAGAGTTGGCGATTCTACTTTGAAAGCTCTTACCATGTCAACACATTTTCTACTCAATAAAGAGCAGCTCTTACTGCTGCTGCCACCAGTCTTCTAGAATATGTGTAGTTTAGACTCTAGGTTTTCCTACACTGGGCAGTCCTGGCCTCCAACCAGTCTCGTGCCCACAGCACAGCTTGGCAACCGGGAGGACACCAAGGGCCAGAGGGTCGGGGTAAAGCTTTGTTCTGACGGGCCCTAGAGCGGCCACTCCGCAGGCTTGACTCTGTTTTCTGTGGTGGCTCTTCGTGTGAGGTGAAGGCGAGGAGGTCAGAGCCTAGACAGCCAAGGCCCCTGCTCTGCGCACTTGTCCCAGGGGCCTCCTGGCCTGATGGCAGCCACTGGGACTGAGGGGAGCTGGCTTCTTGCAGGCTCTGCCTCCGAGTGTGCTGGCTGAAAGGTGCCTTGCGACAGAAAAAGACTGTCCCCCCTTTCCAGGAGAACAGCTATCATGGTCCGAGTGCTTGCCTGTTTCATCTCCATCTCAGGCCACGGAGCAGAGGGGAGGGTCTGGTTGGGGTTAGGCAGCCTGGCTCTGACTCCAGACTCAGTTGGAACCACCTTGTGGAACATCTGCGAGGCCACAGCACATAAAAATGTTTGCCTTCTGGCAACCACTTTTATAAGGATGTAATAATGTGTGCATTACAAAAATAGGTCTGTTTGTGGTGGTCAGCACTGCCAGCAAGCCGACCCTGGCCAGGTGTGGAGGGGCGTCAACGGGGTGGCAAGGGGGCCATGGAAAGAAGTCTGTGTGCCAGGTCCCGGCCCCACTGCACACCATCCCGCCGCCCTCCCCTCCCCCAGGCCTCAGGCTCAGGTTCCCAACCTAAGTTTAAGGGCCCCTCTTGTGTTCCTGGGGAGTGTATCTGTCCCCCAGCCCAAGCCTTATATTTCCTTTGATTGTCCAGTGGTTTCAACTTTTGTCAGAAGGTCGCTCTTGAATCTGAAGCACAAAGATGGGAACCAAGAGTCTGAGTTGCTGGCGTGACTGGACTTACCTGGTGATGAGCTCTTGGCCCTCTCCTTGGACTGCTGGTTCTCATTTAAAATGGGGCCTTCAGGCTGGGCGTAGTGGTGCAGGAAGATCGCAAGTTCAAGATCAGCCTCATCCTCCAAACTAGACCCTGTCTCAAAACAAAAGGGGGGCTAGGGATGTAGCCATTGGAGAACACCCCTGGTTCAGTCCCCAGTACTCCTCCACACACACACACACACACACACACACTGGGGCCATCAGTGGCTCAAAGCCCTCACCCTTTCCCTGAGGGGCAGGGAGAACAGGAATCTGCCCTCTGTGTAGAGCTCTGGGGCAGGAGAAAGATGAATTTGCTGGAAGGACAAAGTTCATTTGGATCAGTCCCCTGCAGGCTGCTCCTGAATGGAGCAGCCCCGGATCTGGGCAGTGTAACCATTTCCATGTGGAGAGAGCAAGCGCGCATCCAAAAAGTCCTGTTAGAAACAGGTGGAAGGACACCCTCCTTCCTCCCGAGTGAGCTCCCAGCTCCTGTTCAACAGAACACCCACCAGTTGTCCTGGCAACAGGCTTTTTCTGAGAGAAGATGATCCAACAAACGAGGCTGCCCAGGTGGAGTGTGTATCAGACCTGAGGCCAAGTGGGGGCCCGTGTCGCCTTCGAGTTCCCCTGCACTCACACCGCCCCAGTCTTAGGGGCCCTTTGCAGTCTCCCAGGATCAAGACCCCAGGATCACTCACCAAAGAGTGCCCTGGACGGTTTGGAGCCCAGCAAGGCTGGGAAGCTGATCATCCTAGCGTTCCCCTCCCTCTTTGGCGTTTAACCGGCCTCGGCAGCCGTCCTCCAGAACCAGCCTCTTTGTTCTGTAGAGATTCCGTGGCGAAATTTTGGGAGGGCCCTGCCAGGCCACAGGGTCCAGACTGTCACTCAGTAAACTGGGTCCTTCTCTGATAGCATCCTGCTGAGTGAGCACCCCATTTCTCCTCTTAAACCACTCAGCTTTTAAGTGGATGAACTCTGTCCGAGGCTCTCTTAAAAGCCAGTGCCTGCTGGCTGCAGTGACACACCTGTCACCACTACTCAAAAGGCTGATGCTGGAGGATCACAAGTTCATGAGCAGCATAGCGACACCTCATCTTGGGAAAAAGAATACTAAAATTAAAAAAAAAAAAGTTTGTATCTGGATCAGTTTCTAAGCCACATCCTCATCCCTTTTTGTTTTTTATTTTGAGACAGGGTCTCAACTAAGTTACTGAGCCTGGCTTCGAGCTTGCAATCCCCCTGTCTCAGCCTCTCGCTGCATTTACAGATGGACAGGAAGATTGCAAGTTCAAGATCAGCCTCAGCCTCTGAAGTAGACCCTGTCTCAAAACAAAAGGGGGGCTAGGGATGTAGCCATTGGAAAACACTCCTGATTCAGTCCCCAGTACTCCTCCACACACACACACACACACACACACTGGGGCCTTCAGTGGCATATATACACAGTGGAATATTACCACCACCTTGCCCTCCCATCCCTCAGGTCTTGTAGAGTAGTCAGGTCAGCACTGCCATCCCCTAGTGTCCCTGCTCCTCTGGGAGCAAGTATGCCATCAGCCGTCATTTTCAAGGACTGCTGTGAGGGCTGTCGGGTTTATCTGTCCTTGAAGCCTGATGTCTGAAGTGCCCGGTTCTTGGCTACCCTCGGCTCACCTGTCTGCTTCTCGGCCCTGCTTACCTGGCTCTGTTCTGCCTTCCCAGCCTGCGGTCACTGACCCTGATGAAGACAGGCAGGAGCAGGTGGGACACATAGTCGTGGACCCCTGAGCACACCGGCCCACCCCTTCCTGTCCTCGGGAGGTGCCGGCCTTGGCTCTGCTCTGTGGCCGTCCTGACTTTTTTCTTTCTGTTTCTTAATTAACTTACTCCAGCTCTCAGATTGTTTTCAGCTGGGTGCAGTGGCACACGCCTGTAATCCCAGCAGCTCGGGAGGCTGAGGCAGTAGAAATCTCTCAGAATTCAAAGCCAGCCTGGGCAACTTAGCAAGACCTTCCCTAATAAAATATAAAAAGGTTGGGAATATGGCTGAGTGGCTAAGCCCCTCTGTCAGTCCCCAGAATATAAAAAAAAAAAATTTTTTTATTTTAACAGTGTGTCCTTATCTTCATTCTAGTGACGTTGAACATTTATATAATTATCCCTTTGCTCAGCAAGGCATAAAGCATAAGACAGGCAAATCAGACAAGTGAGGCTGGCCACAGGGAAACCCACAGTTGGTGGCCAGGTGCTCCGGTCAGGCTGGCCTGTTGTCATCCCCCACCCCCAGCACTTGGTGTTGCTTACTGGTGAGCAGCAGCTTGTGCCTGTACCTGTTAGTAATAGTTTAGAGACAGATAAGAGTGAGCCTCTCCAGGTGACCCTGGATGAGCCAGTACCTGGCAAGGGTGGTCCCCCTCTCCCTCCCTGCTGTGGCATGGGAGGTATCTGCCTGTCCCAAGGCAGCAAAAAATGTTCTCCTGAAATATCATGTCAGTTTTGCTGGCTGGGCTATTGATGACCCGAAATTTCAATCGTTTTGTATAGAAATGTGCCCTTATATAGCAGCACAGTTCAGTAGATGAATGGATAAAAAAAAATGTGGCATATATACACAGTGGAATATTACTCAGCAATAAAAGAGAATAAAATGGCATTTGCAGGTAAATGGATGGCGTTGGAGAAGATAATGCTATGTTAGCCAATCCCCCCAAAAAACAAATGCCGAATGTTTTCTCTGATATAAGGTGACTGGCTCATAATGGGGTAGGGAGGGGGAGCATGGGAGGAATAGACGAACTCTAGATAGGGCAGAGGGGTGGGAGGGGGCAGGAGGTTAACAATGATGGTGAGATATGATGCACATCATCCAAAGTACATGTATGAAGACACGAATTGGTGTGAACGTACTTTATATACAACCAGAGGTATAAAAAACTGTGCTCTGGGGGCTGGGTTGTGGCTCAGCAGTAGAGCGCTCGCCTGGCATATGCGGGATCCTGGGTTCGATCTTCAGCACCACATAAAAATAAATAAGTGAAATAAAGGTATTGTGTCCAACTTCAACTAAAAAAATAAATATTTAAAAAACTGTGTAATATGAATAGTAATTCATTCCACTGTCATTTATTTTTAAAAAAATCAATTAAAAAGGGGGGCCCTTATACCTGTGGCTGGCTCCACAGAGCTACCAGCGGGGACTGTGGGCCCTTTGCGAGCCCTCAGAGTTGGGCTTTCTTGGAGCCCCTGCCCTCTCTGATTTGCAGGAATGCTTCTGTCTTTCAGATGGAGAAGGATGAAACTGTGAGCGACTGCTCCCCGCACATAGCCAATATTGGGCGCCTGGTGGAGGTGAGTGGGCCTCTGGCTCCAGGACTCTGGTGGGTTCCCTCGTGCTCACCAGGAGTGGGCTGGTGCCTCTCTCTGGAGAGAATCCTCCACTCTGTCCCGAACTCCGCCACTTCCTGCCGCCCCGCCTGAGGTTTTCAGAGCCTTGTGATTTGGATGCGAGCTCTGGGAGGACTTGCTCTGTCCTTGGCTCTAGGAAGCGCCCAGTCCTGTCTCTGCAGTGAACTGGGTGTGAACAGAGACCTGTGCTCAGGAAGGAAGCAGGCCTGGAACGCTGGCGGCCTTGGAGCAGCTTCCATTGTGGCCGCCTTGGCCTCACCTGTCACCAAGTTGTTTGAAGAGGGGGAAGTGCTCTCCAGTTTCATTGAATTGTTCACAGAAGTGGTGGCCAGGCTGAGGGGTGGTGATGTGGTTTCAACGGCTCCCAGTCATGGTCAGAGTTGGCCGCCAGCCCTAGGATGGGCTTCCTCCAGGACAGGACTGCAAGGCCAGAGCACAAGTCATAGGTGGGGTCTTGGCAGCCAGAGTGGGCTCCCTGTGCTGGTGCGGTGGTGCGCCGCCCCCCTGTGGCCATAGTGGGGACTGCAGGCTGAGCCGTTGGCAGGTGGGTGTAGGCCTCAGGCGTCCTTCCTAACTGCTGGCCATGCTGGCTCCCCTCTCTCTCCCCCTCCTCAGGACATGGAAAACAAAATCAGAAGTACACTGAACGAGATCTACTTTGGAAAAACAAAGGACATCGTCAATGGGCTGAGGTAATGTGCCTAAAAGTACAAGTTTTGGAACCAAAAGACACGGGTTTGAGTCCTAGGTCTGCCAGCTGGGCTGGGGATAGAGCTCAGTTGGTGGAGTGCTTCCTCAATGAAAGCCCCAGGTCTGCTAGTGAGTAGCCATGCCATGGGGGGCCTTCTCTTCCTTCACCCCCTATAAGATGGGGCAAAAGTACCTCCCTCTGGGATTGCTGTGCTTGTTCCAGAGGGCACTGCACCCTGGGTACTTTGCACACACACTGACTCTTGGTTCTCGCCTCCACCGTTTTGTTTCTGGACTCACCTTCCTTAACAGCCTTTGGTGCCCTCATCCCTGGAGCCGGGCTCCTCTGAGTGTCTGGCCCATCTAGAGCATGTCCAGGCCCTTGGGTGCTGGAGCCTGAGAGAGCTTCAGCAGCCACACCCCAGGACACGGGAGGGAGTGCTGGCGGTCGCCTCTGGCTGACCCTGGCCCCTGGCTGCAGAGCATGGCATTTGGATAGAGCCCCTCCAGCCTGCACAGGACCCTGGCTGCTCTGTGCTCTGCCAGGCCCTGAGCTGTTCCCACCCATCTCACACCCTGAGTTGTGCCATGTCAGCCAAGCAGAGGCCGGCAAGCTCTCTGGAGACTCGGGGTTCACGGTGGTCTGGGCAGGAGACAGATCCCAGCTGGTGCAGGGGCAGCCATGGAAGAGGGAGCTTCTCCAGACCCCGTCAGCCTGAGCTGTGTGACCTTCCACACACTGCTCAGCACCTCCCAGTCAGGGAGGCAGGGTGCAGGGTGCTCGTGGGGTCAGATGAAGTCTGTGATGGATTCTGCAGCCAGCTCCAGGGGTGGCTGGAGGGTGGCCTTGGTGGAGCCCTCAGCCCCTTTCCCTGCCCAGACCTCACAACCCCCTCAGGGGCCAGCTGCCCGGCCTTATGAATTTATCTGGGGGGCACATTTAAGTTGTCTGCTCTGCAGTTTTAAAAAGAGGAGGAGTCCCCTTTGGGCCCTCACCTTTCCTTCCTGGCCTGCAGCACGTAGAGCCCAGTGGTCCCGGGGGTCAGACACAACAGCTGATACTGGCCAAAAGACCGAGAAGCAGACTCCCCAGGTCACGGCTGCGAAACGAGAAGTGGCGCAGTTGGTGTTGTGGGGTGGTTGGTGTGAGCCCCGAGAACCAGGACCACTGCCCGGGTAGACCTGCAGTGGGGACTCCCGAGGCCCCTCCTGTCCCTGCGTTTCCCTGGCTGTTACACCGTGTTCTGCGTTGCTGTGCTCTCGCCCCCTGGCTTCACCCTCTCTGAACACTCTCTGTAGATCTCTTGATGCTCTCCCCGACAACCACAAGTTTAAACAGTTGCAGAGGGAGCTTTCTCAAGTGCTGACCCAGCGCCAGGTCTACATCCAGCCTGATAACTAAGCCAATCCAGGTACCCTGCCTGAAAGGCGTGAGACCCCCACTAAACAGGACTCACCAACCCGCCAACACCCGCCGTCCAGCTGCTACGCACCCCTTTAAACCACCACTAACTTCCGAGTCCGCTCACGGCCGTGAGCAGCCACATTAACGTGCAGCCTCAGCCCCACGTAACCCGGACACGTGTGATGTGCGTGGCGTGTGTGCACTGTACTCTGGGCGGAGGCCAGGTGTCGGGGAGAGGTGTGATTTGGGTTTTTGCTCCTAAAGAAGCCCAGTCCGGTGACTAGCAGGCCCCTTGTGTGCGCCTGTCTCACCAGCTCAAAGCAGGGGTCTGTGCCCTCTTCTGTCACCTCATGCAGTGTCTCTGGCTCTGTCACCTCGTGCAGTGGGTGTGCAGCAAGTCCTCCCTTTTCCTTTCCCAGGACCAAGATAAGCCCCAGTCTTAGTGGCACATGGACCTGGAAAGGGTGGCCTCCCTCCCAGTCCCTGTGATCACTTGCCATCCTGGCTACCGCGGGAGCCCCTGGGCACCAGTGCCTGTGGTACCTGGGGTGTCTGGGGTGCCTGGCAGTGTGGCCTCCGCCCTAGCGAGCCAAGGCTATCCTCAGCATTGCGCTGTTGGAAAGGAAAATGGTCTTCTTGTTGGTTAATGGCCAGGAACCACAATGTGTGACAGCAGCCAGCACCCTAGAGAGCGGGGGCGGGGAGGCTGCCACTAGAAACAAGAGCAGGGGGCTGCGGAGCCCATTTGGTCCAGGGCTGGACGCCGAAAGCCTGGCCCAGAAGAGGCACAGGGCTGCCAGCGGGGCTGGCCAGGACGTGTGCGTGCCAGAGGGGCTGCCCTCCTGCGCTGAGGCCGTGGGCACTGGCTTGAGGTTCATGGTGGCCACAGCTCCAGCCTCAGCTGGGGCCTTCAGGTGGCCTGCTGTGCTCCCAGGAAGCCTTCCATGAGGGGCACCACCCAGTGCCCTTCCCTGGCCACCCACTGCTGGCCTCCTGGCACAAAAACCTGGTGGGTGGTGGGCACCGGGCACCCGACTGCCCAGAGTGCGTCCTCCTGCTGAATGCTCTGCCTAGGTGACTCTCCCCAGCTCTGCCTGTGAGATGAGCCCCTGCTCTTGGTGCCTCTCGCCTTCTGACTTCCCGTCTCCCATCTGATCCTCCTCTGTGGGGTGGGCCTGGAGCACTGAGCTCCTCCTCCCCAGAAGAGCCGGCCGCGCCAGGCCCAGGAGCCCGCACTGCTGCTTGGCCTCCTTGCCCTCCCACCCCCGCCCTCTGTCCCCGTCCCTGCTGTGAGCTGAGGAAGCCCTTGGTACCAGCTGAGCTTTGGAGACCCGGGCCTGCTGGGGTGGTGCCCTGCCCCGCCCCTGGCTGTGGCAGATCCCGAGGCAGTCCAGGGCGACGGGCAGCATCGACCAAACACCAGCGTTTCTCATGGGGACTTTTTTCAGTTGTGTGCAGATGGCTTCTCTTACCAACGCCCCTTCCTGAGGACTCTTTGATTTTCTAGGGTTCGGTAGCCAGAACTCGGGCCAGGGTGCTGTGGCCTCCCGGCCCTGCTCCACCTGGCTACCCCTTCTCAGCACACTCCCTCCCCACTCTGTCACGGTGGGTGGACTGCAGCAAGACCCTGGCTGAGCACACTGTCCCACGCTCGCTTCCTCCTGTCCCCACTGCTTCTAAACTATTACACGGTTGTTAATAATTAGTTAGTTACTAATGTTGGGCAAATTTGACCAAGTGCTCACCCAGGGAATCACTGCGGGGGGGCATTTCTTGGAGCTCAGTTTCCTTGTCTGTAAATGAGGGTTAATAATGGTGAAGACTCCAAGATGCGTGTGAGGATCCAATGACATGCAGTGTATGAGCAGCACTTTGTGAATCGTAAATGTCTAAATCCCTGTTTCTAGCTTTGCTGAAGTTTCCCCACAGATCCAGGATTGACAGTGGGGGGCCCAGGGCACCCTCCCCCCACCTCCTGGAGCTTGGGTGAGGGCTTTTCTGGGCCATTAACAGCCGCAGTGCCTCCCAGCAGAAGCCAGAAGCCCTGCCTTTGCCGTGTGCCCTGATGTGACCGCAGCACACACAGACGAGGGTCCCTGGACACCTGTGGGTGCTGCTGCGCCCTGACTTGCCAGGGGAGCATCCAGCCTCCTGCAGGGCTGGAATGGAGAAGGGGGAGGCGCTGTAGAGGGCCTCGTGGCCCCTGGCCTGAGTCCGCCTCCTGGGGCCGCGGGTCTGAAGCCAAGAGTCTTCACCACATGGTGCTTGGAAGCCGCCTGGTTCCAGAAGGTGTTGCAGACTGGGGTTCTGGTTGCTAGGGCCAGGTCACCCATGGCCCGGGGCAGCGGTGACCTGCCTGTGCAGGTCTCTGGGGCCCAGCAAGGAAAGGGGGTGCAGGTCCCGCAGCTCTGCCCGCTCCGCGCCCTCCAGGCCTGGTCCCTTCCGCATCCTCCTCCCATTCCACCGCTCACAGCACCTTTCCTCCCTTGCAGGTCTGTGCAGACTTTTGCAGACAAATCAAAACAAGAAGCTCTTAAGAACGACCTGGTGGAGGCATTGAAGAGAAAGCAGCAGTGCTAAACCTCCGCTTTGCTAACCGGACACGCCATGCACTCGTTAGATTCCTTTCTTAGAAAACTCGTTTTCTGCTCCCTTTCCTTGTCCCCTCCCTCCCGAGCAGGTCACATAACACCTTGCATCATCGACCGCACAGCGCCATCTCTCCCTGAGAATAAAGCCCGATAAACACCCTCCTCTGGCTCCGAGGCCTGCTTCCCACCACATTTTGCTATCGAAACTCTCGATGTTTCCATAGAGACCTGTGTTTTCTGTTCACCTGGGCCCCGCCCCCCCCATTTATAGGCATAAGATACACTGTCTGTCGGCCACCCCTCCCACCTTTTTTGTTACATTGGTGTAAAAAATGTAAAACAAAAAAATTTTATGAAATAACTGTGGTGTGTGAAAGATAGAAGAAAAACTGGAAATCTGATTCCATGTGTGTTTGGGAGTTGCTTGGGGCTGGGGGTCGGGGGACAGGGCCGGCTCTGGGAGGAGGGGGAGGCGGCCTTGCGTCCTGCGCAGATCTGCCCCTGTCCTGCAGAGACCACGGTGTGGGTGGGGCGGCCGTCCTGCTCTTCTGGCCAGGTGCTCTTCTGTCAATTTTTATGGAATGCAAAAGGAGTTTTTTGTTTTATTTTGTTTTTTTTGTAAAGCTTAAACAAACAAAAAATCTACATCTTATACTTGAGCCTCCATACTTAAAAAAAAAAAGGAAAAAAAGAACAAAAAAATAAAAAAGAAACTGGGACGCAGTTCACACTGGCCTTGTTGTGTTTTTTCATCTGCGGACTCCTGTGGAGACCTGGCGCCTGTGGGGGCAGAGGTGGCGAGCACAGTGGGGACTCACACCGGAGCACTCCTGCCCCACCCCAGATCAGCCCTCAGCGTCCTGCCTTCTTGGGAACACAGCAGCTACAGGCAGCCAGCAAGCCCCTACTATGCGCAGGCGACTCAGCCGTGCGAGTCACACTGTGGGGGAAATGCCCCTTTTGCAGATTCAAAGAAATAGACTGTAAAAGTTGAGGGCTCTCCCCTCAAAACCCCACAGCGCTTCAGAACCCGGCTCTCTCCTCTGCGCTGCCTTCCACCCAGTGCCCTGTCACCTACCTTCCTGGGCTTTGAGGCCACTTGATCCTCGCCGCCCCTCATCCAATAAACCCTATTCAGGGCCTGTAGTCCTCAGTCTCGCTAGCTTGACTTAGCTTGTTTTATTATTATTATTATTATTATTTATTCTTTTGGTTCTGAGCACTGAACCCAGGAGCACTTCACCACTAAGCTATCCTCAGCCCATTTTTCTTTTTTGGGACAGCGTCTGAGTTGCCCTCCTGCCTCAGCCTCCCGAGTCACTGGTTACAGGTGTGCGCCTCTCACCCGGCTGCTAGGTTTTTAGCTTTTTTCACAGCAGCGGGAAAAAAATGAGTAACTGTGAGATGATGAATCCCAAAATGTGTTCTATGTATACCTCAAGTACCTTAAGTGTGCACAATGGCTTCCGGGCCTGGGCTGGGACTCTCCAGCGAGCCATTTCCTCCTGTGTCCAGTAGGGGGCGGCAGCCTCCGGGGTTGTATTGACACAGTGCCTGGCACAGACGAGGTGCTGAATAAATGGGTCTTCTTGTTTATCAGGTGTGCAGCCTTGTGACCAGACATTAGAAACCCAGAAATTGTGACGTATGACAGGACTGATCTTGCTCTGCCTTCTGGAGCCTTCCAAGGAGCCACCACTGCTAGTTTCTTGAGGCTAAATCAAGTTTGTGAGATTGTGGACAGTGGGCGCTGATAAAGGGTTTCTTAGATGAGGGGCAGCAGGGATCGAGTAGCCAAAGAGGAGAGTTTGTAGCCTGGCCTAGGGCCACCTCTGCTACCTCCCGGCCGCTCCTTTCCATGCCCCTTCCTTGGTTTCCTCAGTGGCTGAGGTCCCAGCGGGAGCCATCCTAAGAAATTCGTTTTAAGAAAATGGCCTGTAGCAGCTGGGTCCATGGGCTTAGGGACAGACTCCTGGGACTTAGCAGCAGAGGCATGTCCTCCACCCCATGGGTCACTAGATAGCGCCTAGAAGTGCCCCGGTGGCACTTAGCAGAACAGGAGACAGCCTTGTCAGGGTGTGGTGGCAGGAGCCCTGGCCCTGAAGCCAGCAGCCTGCCTGCACCTCCGGAGGGGTGAGGGCTCAGGTAGATGGCCCTGGGGTCTCCAACCCTTCCCCTCCCGCTGCAGCAGCCTAGACAAATCAGCCACAGGGGCCCTATCTGGGGTGGCCCTGAGGCCTCGGGCCTCCCTGGCTCTGCACATTCACTAAGCAGCTGCTTTGTGGCAGCTCTGGCTCCACCTCCAAGGGCACGGGACCCTGGCTGCTGGCAGGCCTTAGACATTTTGCTGCCTGTGCACCATGTCACCTCCACACACCGCAGAGGAGAGAGTCCTGGAGCCTCCTTGGCTTCTGTCCTTCCAGACGTGGAAGCCTCCCCTTCTGCCACCTTCTGTGACAGTTCACAGCCCATGTAGCTTCCTAGGCTGTTTGCTGAGTGAGGGGCACTCCAGTTATCAGGGAGCTCTAGGGGACTGGGGGAAGGAGTGTCCTGCCTGACCACCTACTCTTCGCTGTCACAGGGCTGGAGGCTGGCATTGAACCCTCACGAGCCAAAGAGGCACACAGGACTTCTCCCTGTGAACAGGTCCGGGGCAGGTGGTCAGAGGGCAGCCCCCGCTGCTCCATTCCACAGCCAGACTTGCCCCACACCTGGCTGCTTGCTCAGTGCCCAGCAGGCCCCTCATGCCCACTTCTGAGTTCCAAGAACTGGCTGTTTCTTTTCTCTCTGTAACTGTTGCTGTTTTGGTGCCGGGGATGGAACCCAGGGCCAAACATAAGTCATGTAGATATTTGTTTTAGCTTTCCACTGCTGTGACTAAAAGAGCCCAACCAGAACAATGTACAGGAGAAAAGGTTTATTTAGGGGCTCACAGTTTCAGAGGTCACCATCTATAGGCAGCGGCTCCCTTCTTTGGAGCTTGAGGTGAGGCTGAACATCATGGCGGAGAGTGTGGAGGAGGAAAACGGCTCACATCATGATCAGGAAGCAGAGAGACTCCACGCTCATGTATACTCCCAAGCCACGGCCCAATCCCCACCTCCCCAGCCACACCCACCACCCAGTTAATCCCATCAGGGGACTAAGTCACTGATTGGATTAAGATTCTCACAGTCCGGTTATTTCTCCTCTGAACCTTCTTGTACTGTCTCATGTGAGCTTTTGGGGGACACCTCACATCCAAACTATAACAATATTATAAATATTATAAAAGTTAAAATAAGTTTAAGCACCCTGCTTTATATTCTCAACAGAACTAAGATTTTTAACACCCGCTGCAGGAAAACCACATTACTTAATCACAGGCTGTTAAATCTGTCAAACTGGACCAGTTAGCTACAAATGTTTTGAGAATTTGTTACTGATCTGCTTTGATTTATTTATTTATTTATTTTACTTTTAGTTGTAGATGGACACAATAGCTTTATTTTATTTATTTATTTTTATGTTGTGCTGAGGATCGAACCCAGGGCCTCATACATGCTAGACAAGCACTCTGCACAGAGCCCCATTCCCAGCCCCGTTGTTTTAAGTTTTTGAGGCAGTTCTTACTATGTTGCCCAGGATGACCTTGAACTCCTAGTCTCAATGTCCTCCTGCCTTAGCCTCCTGAGTAGCTCGGACCACATTCTCACAGATGTTGCAGTTTACTGTGAAGTTAATGATCAATTTATTAAACAGATGGTTCTTTAGCCCAAACTAGTCTGTGCTATCGTTTTCTTGATTTACAGTTTGATTATCATTTCTCTCTCTCCTACTCTATTCAATTACCTTTTTAAAAAGACAAAGTTCAGAATATCAGCATCATTTTATATAAACTTATAAATCAAGTTTCTGAGCCAGATGTGGTAGTACATAACTGTAATCCCAGAAATTCAGGAGGCTGAGGCAGGAGGATTGCAAGTTTGAGACCAGCTGGGTGATTTAGCAAGACCCTCTCTCAGAAAACAAAAAGGGTTGGGAATGTAACATAGTGGTGGAGTATCCATGGGTTCAAGCCCCAGTACCAAAAAAAAAAAAAAAAAGGAAAAAAATACATTCTGAAATATACTTAAATGTGGTATCATATTTTAAAGGTCTTATCCGAATTTCCCATTCTTATTTTCTGTCATTTAAAGTATTTCTTCATAGATGAGCACTATCACTTCATAGATGAGCATATCACTGTCTCTGCCTCTTTTGTGAAACTTTTTAATCTGGAATAAGTGCTCAATAAATGGTCTGTAGAAGTCAGGCTTGGTGGCACACACCTGAAATCTCAGCTATTCTGGAGGATGAGGCAGGAGGATTGCAAAGTCTGAGGCTAGCCCAGGCAATTTAGTGAGATCCTGTTTCAAAATAAAAAAATAAAAACGGCTGGGTGCAATGACACACACCTGAAATCCCTTCAGCTTGGGAGGCTGAGGCAGGAGGATCCCAAGTTCAAGGTGAGCCTCAGCAATTTAGCAAGACCCTAAGAAACTTGGCAAGACCCTGACTCAAAAAATAAAAAGGGTTGGAGATGTAGCTTATTTGTAGGGCCCCTGTGTCCAATCCCCAGTTATGTAAAATAAATACAGCTCTGTAGAATGAGTAAACTATATCATATGTATGTATCCCTTTGAGCTTTTAGAAGTAAATGAAATCTTTACTTCTCTCTAGCAACTAATTGCCCGCATTCTTCTGCCTACATAGCTGGCCTTCAGATTACTTAGGACTGTATCTGGGTAGAATTGTCACAGGAAGTAATTATATTCTCATTATCCTGAACTTCTTACTCAAATACTTTGATGGACTGTTAAGCATCCACTTATTCACCATTTATTGAACACCTACTAGGTACTGGGGATACAATGGTGAACAGGTTAGATGGTCTCTGTACAGTCCTGTGGGGGTAGGGAAGTGGGCACAGTGGAGGTAACTGTGTCCTCCGGGCTGTCACAGGGTTGAGGGACTAATCCACACTGACAGGCACCCCACACCGCGCTCAGGGCTAATTGCGATGCCGACTGGCTTAATGCTCTCTCGTCTAGCTCAGGACCTGGCTGTTTCCCTGAGAACCTCTGAGGTCCTGCCATCCTGCCCTGATGAAGCCAAGTCCCACCAGAGAGGGGCAGAAGGGGGTGAGTTGTGGACTTCCGCCTTCCTGCAGAGTGGGAGAGCTGAAGGCCGTGTTGTCTTAGGTGTCCCCAAAAGTTCTCAGGTGCCATAGATGACCAACCAACAGGCCTCATTCCCCGGCTGCTGGCCAGCTCCTCCTGCCCCTGACCCCACCCAGGGACTTGGGGGAGGCAGCAGGCTGTGGAGCACAGGGCCAGACACTTCCACAGACCTAGCCTGCCAGGGTAGGGACATGCGGGGTGACCGGCCTCGCCTCAGGCTCCCACGCACATCCTGAGGGAGACCCTCCTCGACAAGGACCACTGGTAAGGACGGTTCCAAGCCTGGCCTGAAGTCAATGCCCACACGTCTGCCTGGGGATTTGGCAGGGAGTGGGGGCTCTTGTCCCATCAGGCCCTAGCCTTGCCCAAGGACAAGAGGAGAGAAGGGAAAGCCACGAGGGTCGGGCTCTGAACTCCGACCCCACGGCGGTCAGCAGGGCCACAGCAGCGTGGAGGTGTCCCACCAGCTGGGCTGGCCTGGGAGGAGCCGGGAGCTTCCAGGATGGCTGAGCTGAGGCAGCCTGTCCACCCCGCTCCTGCGCAGGCCAGGCGCTAGGCAGCTCACAGCGCGGCCCGTTTTATCATCGCAATTGTGTTCTGAGGCACAGGGCGTCACAGCTGGTCCCACAGGATGAAGCAACCAAACTTTGGGACGTCTTTCCAGGTCACAGGCCATAGAGGGGCCTGCCTGGGACTCAGGACGTCAGACCTCAAAATCTGTGCCCCACACTGCCCTGCCACTCGCGTGTCACCAGATCCCCCCACCAGGGCATGGAACATGAGGCCCTGGGGCAGGTCACCAGGCTCCTCCAACCCCAGAGCCAGCTATATACCAGGCTTGCTTTCTTTTTCTTTTCTTCTTTTTCTTTTTTTGTACCAGAGATTGAACCCAGGGGTGCTCAACAATTGAGCCATATCCCCAGCTCTTTCTTATTTATTATTTATTTATTTAGTTAGTTAATGCACACACTTTGTTTTTTAGTTGTTGATGAACCTTTATTTTATTTATATTCAATGCTGAGAATCGAACCCAGTGCCTCACTCATGCTAGGCAAGTGCTCTACCACTGAGCCACAACCCCAGGCCCTGAGCCCTTTTTCATATATATATTTTGGGAGGGGGTACTAGGGATTGGACTCAGTGGCGCTCAACCACTGAGCCCCATCCCCAGCCCTATTTAGAGACAGGGTCTCACTGAGTTGCTTAGTGCCTCACTTTTGCTGAGGCTGGCTTTGAACTCATGATCCTCCTTTCTCAGCCTCCCGAGCCACTGGGATCAAAGGTGTGCGCCATTGCGCCAGCCCAACTGCATTCGCTGCACTGGAGCAGCAAATGAGGCCTCCAACGTTGAGGAGGCCAGTTGTGCCCCAGCTGCCCACAGGGGCAGGGATAACGCCTCCTCCATCACACAGGGCACTCCCCGGGGACAGGGGCCACCCCTCCATAAGACTGGGGCTTCCTGAGCCGAGGGAGCCACAGCTCTCAGCAAACTGGACACCTGAAAGCAGGAGCGCCCCCATCAGCCTGGGCACTTCCCAGAGGAAGGGACAATGACGCTCCCACTAGACGGGGGCTTCCCGAGGCCGGGCTGTGGTTTCATTTTCTCTCCCCTGCCCAGCTCTAGTCGGGCCTGCCCTTGGGTTCATGCTGCTACACTGAGCACCGGGTCTTCAGGCCGACAGGGTGCCACCTGGCCCCAGGGGAGTGGCATGGAGCCCTGGATGGAGCCACCTGTCCGGCTGGCGAACGGTACCTGAAGCAACCTTGAGCTGTGGCCAGCAGTGGCCGGGAGCACCCTCCCCTGGGGTCCAGAGACTCACGGAAAGGCCGCCCAGATTGGAAGGGGGACTGAGCCCAGCAGAGTAAGGCTGGAGGGCACCGCCACACCAGGACCCCCGGCCAGGGAGGGAGCGAGAGCCCCGCTGCAGGCCTCGGCTGCAACCGGGTGAAGAAGGCCACTGTCAGCCGAGGGCCTAATGTGTCACCCAGGGGACACTCCCAGCTGGGCAACCTTAGGCAAGTCACCCAACTCCTCTTTCCCGTCATTCCATCTGTCACAGGGCGCTGTGGCATGGACTGGGGGCTGTGAGGGTGACATCGAGGCACGCGGCCTGGCAGTGCTCAGCAGACCAGCTGCATGGCCGACGGCACACTAGCTCCACAGCACCTTCAAGATGGGGCTGGGGACACTGGCCATTCCCGCTCTCACGGCCCACCTGGACCCCAGTCCTCTCCTCACTCTCCCCAGCCACAGAGGTTCTCCCCAACCAAACCCTGTCCACCCACGAGCTACCTGCACAAGCCCTGTCCCCAGAACCTGGTCCTTGTCCTCAGCCTAGGTCTGGCCTTCGTTCAGGAAGGCTCTTGGTAGGTGGGAGCGGCCCAGGCCCCAGCCCCAGGCCTTGCACCTGCCCCCGCCCCCGGAATTGGCTTCAGCTGGAGGCCGGGTGCAGGGGCGCATGCCTGTAGTCCCAGCTGCTTCGGAGGCGGAGGCAGGAGGGTTGCAAGTTCAGGCCCAGTCTCAGCAGTTTAGGGAGACAGCCACAACACCCTGCTCTTCCCCTGATGCCTGTCACCACCTCCAGGAGGCCACCCTGTCTCCAGAGAGACCTGACTGTCCCTCTTTTCCAACTGAAAATCACCAAGGCTAACCTTTGCTGAGCAATTACTACATACCAGAGTTTGGAGCTAAACTCCAAACTACACTATCTCCTTTAATCCTTAAAAGGACATATGAAGTGGTGTCACTGTCACCCCATTTCACCGAAGAGGTCACTGAGGCACGAAAAGCTAAGAGGCCAACCGAGCTGAACCCTAACTATTCTGCTTCTTCTGAGCACCAGGAACAAGGACCCCACTGACATGATTCTCACTCCTGCGTCCCCACTATCAAGGTGGGGTGGGTCACAGAGAGGCCCAGAGATGCAGGTTAAAGGAACAAGGGACCCCCAGGAGGCTGGGTCAGGACTGTGGGCAGATGTGTCCCCTCCGGCCCAGCTCATACTGGGTCCCCATCCACCATGTTCCTCAGAGCAGCCCAGGCCCCTGGCACCTGGGGAAGGAGCAACAAAAACAGGTGGTTCTGGGAAGTACCGTTTACTAGGTCATCTTGAGTCAACCGGACTGTCCCGGGTCCACCTGCTGCAGCTGTGGCCCCAGTGTGCAGGCAGAATGAGGTAGGTGGCTGGAGGGGCGACGCGCTGTCTTCTGAGCCCTGAGCTCTCTGCGCAGCCCCTTCCTTGAAGCTTCCTGGGACAGCTGCCTTGGACCCGGGAAGTGTGTTTCCAGGGTGGCTGGGCGGCCCCGGGACTGTCTTGCTTCTAGAAGAGTCCGTCAATCTGGTGGGGAGACAGTTGGGCCGGGAACTCTAGGCCTCCCCCAGGCTGTCACCAGGGCCCAATACAGGGGCAGCAACACCTCTCACTTCCTGGGCGTGGCACCTGGAGGTCCCTGTCCTTCTGAGGTGCCGGTCAGCTGGGGAGGAGGGGCTCATGCTCTGAGGAGGTGGGGTGGTTCCTGTACATCAAGAATTGGACAGAGATCTGAGGGCTGGCGTCAAGGCTAACGGAGCACGAGCTGTGGCCCATGTCCCCTCTTCTCACCCTCCCTCGGTACCCCCTCTCGCAGGGGAGGGGCCAGGCAGGACCCCCGGCCCTGGCTCTTGCTGTACCCTCCCCACTGCCTGCTGTCCTGGCTCCCAGTGCCCAGCCACACTCCACTCGTCTCCGAGTCCAGCCAAGGCCTTCCTCAGGTGGCCTCGCAGGCCCAGGACCTGCTGTCCAGCCACCCTACAGCACCCTGGGGTGCACCAAGCGGCTGGGCCATTTGGGGCCACTAGAGCTTGATTTTTTTTCCTTATCACATCCTGCAGGGACTCAGCAAATGTTAAAACAAGGCCCATGTTTCCTTTCTCCCAAATAATGTCCTGTTCTGCCATTCAGCAAATATTCACTGAGCACACACTGAGTGCCAGGTCACGTGGGGAGTTTTCAGATACCTGACATCATCACCCATTATCCTGGTGAGATAGCAACTGTGAACTTAGATGAGGATATGGGGACACAGGTGGATGGTCTGTGCTGTGTCACACAGCTATGAAGTCGTGGAGGAGGCAGGATTTGAACCCAGGGTTTCTGACTCTAACTCCCGTGGGGCTCCATGTTCCAGCTTGTATTCCCCTGGCCTGGATGGAGCCCTCTTTTCTATTCCTCAGGCCCTTTGCACAAGCTGTGCCTGGAACTCTCCTTCCACACCTCTGCCTGACCGACGTCTCCTCCCTCAGGCCAGCTCAAATGCCAGGGCAGTCCTGAGGAGAACACTCTTGCCATCTTTCTCTGCAGCTCTAGGTATCACTGCAAGGAAGTAACTAACTGACGATCCTGTGTGTCCTGCCTGGCTCTCCACTGAGCTCTAAGGGTCACCAGGCAAGGGCCATTCTGTTCTTGCTCACTAATGAACCTGGTGCCTGGCAGACAGGAGGTATAAGCTCTAGAATGGATTAATACGAGGAGGGAGGGAGGGATGGGTAGATGGGTAGGTTGATGGTAGGTGGGTGGTTGATGGGTAGGTGGGTGGATGGATGGGCAGATGGGTGGGTGGGTGGGTGCCAGGTTGCCCAGGTAGGTGGGTAAATGGTGGGATGAATGGCTAGGTAGATGGGTAGACAGGTGCTGAAGCTCCGCCCCCCGCTGCTCCCCAGCCCTGGACACCTAGAAGGATATGACAGTGTCAAGCAGCAGCACGCCCAGGCTGCCCACGAGCCAGGGCAGGTGGTGCAGCAGGTAGCTACCCTCGCTCTGGCCGACCTCGGGGTTTTTGAGCAGCACACTCAGTCCATACAGCGTGTTCCCCAGCATCACCAGCGCGAACAGCGAGTAGGAGATGCCCTGGGTTGACTTCCGCAGGAACTGGGGGCCAAGAAGGCTGGGGTTAGAGACATCAAAGACGGCTCTTGTCACTCTAGACCGTAACTGTCCACGTGTCGGTCTGCCCTGTATTACGACACTCTGAGCGGGTTTTTCACCGTGTGCCCAGCACCCAACATGCGCCTGGCATACAGACCAGCCATATCCAGGGCCAGACACCTCATCCTCGCTCCAACCACTTGACCCAGACCCTACCCGTGACTGGCGGCCCCAGGTCCTCACTCTCCAGCCCTGCCCGGACTCCTGGGGCCCGCCAGCCTCCTCACCACTGCCCTCACCTTCTCCCCTCAGCCTCCAAGCCTAGCTCCTCCCTCTCGTGTGACCTCCAATTGCCCTGGGACACACATGGGTCTCATGCAGCCCTCCATGGCGGCCCTCACATGCCCATTTTCCAGAGGCAGAAACTGAGGCAGAGAGTGGACGTGACTCGCCCAAGCCAACAGTGAGGCTGGTCCCAGACCATCTGAATAAAAATTCCTGCACCAGGCTCCTTCTTAACCCAGGAGAGCTGCTCCGTTCCCTGGCACCCGCCCACCCCTACTCGGGGCTCACGTTGGTGCGGATCTGGGGCAGCCTGGACAGCAGGTACAGCACGCTGGAGATGGAGCCGATAACAAAGCCAATGATCTCCTGTTTCGTGAAGGGCTGGGTGGGGGCAGAAGAGACTGCTCAGTGGCTAGTGGGAGCTGCAGGTGCAGAGAGATCCCTCCCAGAGGGTGATCCCCCACCCCACTTGACCATGCAGTGGGGAGCCCACCCACTGTACCACCACTAACCCCACCTCACCTTATTGCCTGGCTCCACAGACAGGAGTGTCCTCCCCCGGAAGACCTCCCTCTGGGCAGCCACAGGGCTGGTGCCCCTCAGTAGTGGCATGGTACACACGGTCCCCAAGATGAACAGGAGCACAGAATTGATGGGCGCAGATACTGGTCATGAGGCAGAAGAGAAAAGCCAAGGTTAGGGATCTGAGTGGCAATAGACAGACTGGGATAGAGTCCCAGCCTCGCCCCTAAGCTTTTAGGTACTGGGTGGCCTTGGACAAGTGACCTAACCTCTTTGAGGGTTTGTATTTTTATTTTTCTTAATACCATTGAGCTATATCCCCAGCCTTTCTTATTTTTTATTTTGAGACACAGTCTCATTAATTTGCTTAGGGCTTTGCTAAGTTGGAAAGGCTGGCCTTGAACTTGTGATCCTCCTGCCTCAGCCTCTTTTTTTTTTTTTAAGAATTTGACCTTTATTTTATTTGTTTTTATGTGGTGCTGAGGGTCAAACCCAAACCCAGGGCCTCCCTTGCTAGGCAAGTGCTCTACTCCTGAGCCACAACCCCAGCCCTGCCTCAGCCTCTTGAGTTGCTGGGATCACAGGCACGTGCCACCACTACCAGCTAACTCACCTTTTTGAGTTTTAATTCTTCATCTGTAGATTAGGTAGAATGACAGTACCTTCCTCAAGGTGAAATGACGGTAGCAGGGGGCGGGGGGGGGGCAGTTAGCACAAGCAGAGAGGCCAGTGAGTCTCAGTGCCCTCCTAGGCGCCTCCACTGTCTCCGTAGTGACCTGTCTATAGTGCCTTCTGAGTCCTGCTGGGCAGAGGCAGCCCGTGTGACACGTCCTCAATTCCCAGCTCTAAGGCTGGGGCCAGCCAGGCACAGAGGAGCGAGGCCATGTTTGCTGAATGAGAATTCAGTGAAGTGACCCTCCCTGTGGTCTGGGCCGGATGTGTTCGCGCCCTGACCTTCCATCTTGTTTCATTGAGGTCCAGGCTTCTAGATAAGGCCTGTGTGCGGTCGGTCAGTTTTATCAGCCTGCAGTGGGAACCCTGCTTCCTCCCCCGCCCCGGGCCCCCTTGGCTGCCAGCAGAGCTCCTGACCAGAGCAGCCGCTACTCACAGAGAGAGGGCCGCTTCTTGAACTTGTAGTGGAAGTACAGCGTCAGCATCATCAGGTCGGCCAGGACGTAATAGATAGCTGTGTAGGTCTGCAAGACAAGGGGCAGGGCCCTGGCGCTGGCTGCGGTCCCAGGAGACTGCTGCAGCCCAGCTGGGGGACCTGACTGCGTCACTTCACCTCCCTGAGCCTGTTTCCTCACCTGGAAAGGAGTCACCTACCCTGGCAGGAGAGAGCAGGCCGGCCGCGGGACCCTCTAAACATCCAGCCCCGGCAGGTGCCAAGGATCCACGGCTGGCGCTACCAGGACAAAACAGAACTCGGGGGTCACGTGATGCCTTGGTTTAGCCATGAGAGCATTCGAGGCTTTATGGTCCCTCTTGGGAAGACACTGTCTTCCTGTGATTCCCAGTTCTACCTGGCCACAGGTCATGATGACATCTGGGGTTCCCAGAGACTTCATTTCCTCAAGGGCCCCACATCCAGAAAACACGAAGAGCCCTGGGTTTGGTAAACTCATACAGCAGATGGGGAAACTGAGGCCCAGAGAGGGCAGTGACTTGCCCACTATCACACAGCACGGCAGGCAGAAGGCTCTGTCTAGGTGTGGGGTCAGGATTCTGAAGCCTGGACCTCTTCTGCTAGCTGCTCCCAAGGCCTCTCTGCCAGGGCTGTCCTTAGCTGCCCCACCTGCCCAGGGACCTGCCCACCTGCAGGGGCAGCTGGTCAGCCAGAAAGGAGCCGATGAGGTTGCAGGAATCTCCGCCAATCCAGCCGAGGAGGAACCACAGGGACAGGGCCTGGTCCATGTTGCCGGTCTTGCAGGCCTTGATGTACTGGCTATGGAAGAGGAGGGGACACAGCTCAGAGGCTGGGGGCTGTGGAGCCGCCTTAGAGGGCCAGTGAGGGAACCTTCCCCAGAAGAGGTGACTGACCGTGGTACAGGGAGGCAGGGGCAGCAATGGCCAGGAGGCCGCCCAGGAGCCCATCCTTCCTTCCTTTCTCTGCCCTTCAGAGGATTTCCACGGGGCACCCTCTTCTGGCCTGAGAGCCCTAGGGCTGCGCATCTTCTGGAGAGACCCCAGCACTTCTCAGGATCCCCTCCACGGGACCCTGGGGTCCCTGGGAACGTAGGGTTCTAAAGTTTGTGTCAGGCCCTAAGGACAACTTCATAGGTTCCCTGGATGCTCTGTTTTTTGGATCAGGACAGGGGGGTTGGAAGCAAGATGGCATTGGTGGCCAGGCCCAGGACCCTGGAGCACTTGATATGACAGGCCAGACCACAGCCTGACTGTCCTCAGAGGGCCAGCGAGGAGCGCAGGCAGGGATCCTGCCACTCTGGAACAAATGTCCCAGGCTTTTGCTTCCCTGGATGTTTTCCCAAAGGTCACTGGTGTTGGGACCCTTTCTCTGGAACTGTGATCGGGTGGTAATAGGAGCCCAAATCCCAGGGTGAGCCAGTGCTGCCACAGAGGGTCACAGGGCTCAGAGCCCTTTGTGCGTATTAGCGCCTCCAGTCCCCACAGCCCCCATGAAGTCAGGTCTATCATGGTCCTTGTCCTGGGGACCGCGGAGGTCATGTCACACGGCTTGGATTCCCACCCCAACCCAAGCCATTTGCTGCTCAAACTTCCCCTACCCGCCCCCCCCCCCCCCCCCCCAGTGCTCGGGAGGGACCTGGGGCCTCCCACGTGCTGGGCAAGACCGTCACCGCCTCAAGACCTCAAGCTTCTTTTGAATCATCTGCAAAGAGGAAAAAAGGAAGGACCAGCAAAGAAGAGAAGAGGGGGCTCGGGTGGCTCCATGACGGGGCTTGTGCGAGGCCTTGGGTTCCATCCTCAGCACCAAAAAGAAAAGGAAAGAGAGAAACTAAACGGCCTCTCATCCACCCGCTGCCCAAGCCCAGACCAAGAAAGCCGGGCCTGGGCCTGGCCCTTGCCACCCCCACGTCTCTTACAGCCCCCACTCCCCCCAACTCTCCAGTTCTAGCCAAGTCGGTTCCCCTCAAAGCCACCCTTCCTCTCGGGGATTTTTCTAAAACCCCAATCTTGCCAAAAGCAGCTGTCCAGTGTTCTGCTCCTCAGTAAGGACCACCTCCTCTGGCACCTCCCTGCAAGGCCCTGGAGGACCCCACCCCGACTCAGGGCTGCCTTCCCTTCACCTCAGGATGGCCTGCAAGCCCCCTCGGGGAAGGGACGGGAAGGGACGGGACTGGACGGGACGCCTCTTCGACTTTCACGTCTCAGAAATAGCTCCTCCCTGGGCTTCCTCCTCAGGAGCCCTGCAGGCCCCTTCTCCTCCCTCTTACCCAACAGCCCCATCCCTCCTGGACTCAGGGGCAGCTGCCAGCAGAGGCCCAGGAGGGAGAAGGCCCTGGATGAAGGCTTACCCCCTGACCCTCAGGCGCCTCCTAAGATGCTCTGACTCGGTTGTCTCATAAACTGCAGGAGAGTGACTTTGTCCACCCAGGGGACCCAGAGTCCTAGGAATAACTAGGAGGTGGCTGCCCTTCCGCTGTCACTTGGGGCTGCCTCCACAACCTCCAACCCCCTCACTGGTTAATCAGCCAGGCCCAGGCAGGAAGCGGAAGCCCCAGGAGCTTCCCAGATACTGCTGGGCAAGTTCTCCGGGGGACAGGTGGCCTCCCCAGCCCCGTGCAGGGTTCCTCCTGTGGCCCCTATCCACCACCACCCCCCCCCGCCCACTGCTCACTGAGCTTCCTGGCCCCCAAGCTCCAGGCTCTCCCATCCTACTTCCCTAGATGCTCTGCAGAGGTAAGAATGTGTCCTTCCGGCTTCCCATGCCGCGGGTCACATGGCACCTGGGAGCAGGTGACTCAGCAGAATGGAAGCCTCCAACAGGGCACTGGGGTGATTCAACAGGGAAGGGACAGTCTGTTCAACACACAATGCTGGGACAACTGGAAATCCACAGGTGTAAGAATGAAGATGAGCCCCTACCTCACACCATATATGAACTGTAACACAAATAGATCAAACAACCAAACGTAGGTCACATCTGGAAACCTCTTAGAATAAAAGGCCCAGTCTTTGGTACTTGGATTAGATATGACACCAAAAGGAAAAAAAAAAAACCAAAAAAACATAAAGTAGACATCATCAGATACCACGGCACACGCACGAGGACGGCTGTGATAAAACCACACAGTGCCGGGTTCTGAGGAGGATCTGGAGACAGTGGATCCCAAATACTGCTGGGGGGAATGTGAAACGAACAGCCCATTGGAAAAACAGTCCAGCAAGTCCTCAAAAGTTTAAACAAAGTTAGGCTGGCCACGGTGACAAACACCTGTGATCCCAGTGACTCAGGAGGCTGAGGCAGGAGGATCGCAAGTTCCAGGCCAGCCTCAGTAACTTAGCAAGGCCCTCAGCAACTTAGCCAGACCCTGTCTTAAATAAATATTTATTTATTGTGGCCCAGCACAGTAGCACCCTTGCACCCCGCCCCCCCCCCCCAAAAAAAAGATTAAACAGTTACTATTTGACTCAGTAATTCTAATTCTAGGAAAATTACTCAAGAGAAGTAAAAACATAAATCTCCACTAACACTTGTATATGAACACACATACAACAAGAATCACAGTAACTAAAAAGGGCAATGATTCCAATGTTCATCATGGATGAATGCATGAACAAAATGTGGTATGTACATAGAATGGAATATTATTCAGCTATAAAAAGGACTGAAGTACTGATACATGGTACAACATGGATGACTAACCTTCCTTTCTTCCGTCTTTCCTTCCCTCCCTCCCTCTCTTCTTATCTCCCTCCTTTCAGCTGAACCCAGAAGTACTTTACCACTGAGCCACAACCACAACCCTTTTTATTTTTTATTCTGAGACAGGATCTCACTTAGGGCCTCACTAATTTGCTGACGCTGGCCTTGAATTTGATCCTCCTGCCTTGGTCTCCCAAGTTGCTGGAATTGAGATTGCAGGTATGTGTCACTGAGCCTAGCTTCTCTCTTCTCTTTCTCTCTCTCTCTCTCTCTCTCTCTCTCTCTCTCTCTCTCTCTCTCTCTCTATCCATCTTCCTCTGAGACAGGGTCCAGCTATGTTACTCGAGCTGTCCTTGAATTCCTGGGTTCATGTGATCCTCCAGCCTCAGCCTCCCAAGCAGCTGGACAAGAGGCAGGCACCCCTGCACCAGCAACACGGATGAATCTTGAAGACCTTACTGAGTGACAGAAACTAGTGCCAAAAGTCACACACTGTATGATTCCATTTAAGTTAATGATGAAATGTCCAGCTCAAACATCTCCGTTTGCATCCTAAGTATTGTTGTATTTTATTGACTTTTAAAAATCAATTTGTTCCTCTCTCTAATATTAGTGACTCAGCACATCAATTTAAAAGGACTGTGTCCTGGGGCTGGGGCTGTAGCTCAGTGGTAGAGCGCTTGCCTCACATGTGTGAGGTACAGGGTGGGATCCTCAGCACCATATTAAAAATAAATAAATAAAGATATTGTGTCCATCTACAACTAAAAATGTTAAAAAAAATAAAAGGACTGTGTCCTGATGGATGGAGAGTTTAGATCTCAGCAGGATTCTCTTTCTACCAGATGCCATGAATTGAGAATGAACATTAGGATTGGAGCGTGGGCTGGGGAGAGGGTGGGACACAAGGGTGAGGGATTGCCAGAAAAGACATCATGAGGGATGGGGATGTGGCTCAAGCGGTAGCGCGCTCGCCTGGCATGCGTGCGGCCCGGGTTTGATCCTCAGCACCACATACAAACAAAGATGTTGTGTCCGCCGATAACTAAAAAATAAACATTAAAATTCATTCTCATAAGGATGTTTAAAAAAAAAAAAAAAAGACATCATGAAGGGTCCTTAAGCCCGCAGGAATTTATGGGATAATTTCCATCCTTAAAAGAGTTCTTTGAAGGTTTTCATGCTTTCTTGTTACTAGCAGGGTCTTCTGTTGAAATAAGATAATTTTTGTGTTTGTGTACCCCAGAAGAGCAAGATAAAAAAACACAGCCATATTAGCACCATCATTTTAAGGTATCAAACTAAACAAAATGAGGTTCTGAGTGAAGGGACACAGAAAAGTGGCAAGCTTTGCAAATGACGTGGATCAGATACATTGTTAAATATTATTATGTGAATGATATTTATATGCTTAACACAAGTATTTGTATAAGATACTTACATAAAACTTGACAAAGGCAATAAAATTTTACTGGCCTAGTACGCAGGGGAACAGAGCTGCCATTAGAAATTTCTGGATTAGAAGCAATTCGTTAATTACATGAAGCATGAGGTGCCTGAATCTAAAAATATTCCCAAGCTTCATAAATTAAGGGGCTCATTTTTTTTTTCTGAAAAAACAACAAAATCAAGGGACAAAATTCAGGGCATATAATGAAGATGCTGCTATCTAGTTTCATTAAATAAAAAGATTTATGCAAATATTAGATATTAAAATGTACATGTGTTTCATGGGTTTCATTATCCAACCCTCCCCATAGCACAATTTCCTTGAAAAATGCTTATCTTATTGAGTTATTATCCAGGTTTATATCCCCATGGGGTTTAAGGAGAGGCCTAGAAAGTTTGATAAACACTTAAAACACGGCTCCTCTCGCTGTAGTGACAAGAATGCCAAAAGAGGAAAGAGACAGACATTGCATTTTTCATCAAATACTGAAATACAGGTCACCTATGAAACCCAATTTTCCCCCAGGAGCTTCTGGGAAGTGGCCTGATGTACTTGATAGAGATCTGAGCGTTTTTTATTGTGTGGGTGGGTGGCTCTGTGTGTGTGCACTTGCACATTTTAGACAAAACGTGCCATCCTGTTCTCGGTGCCCTGGGCTTCCTGGCAAACTGGCCACAGTCCCTCCCCCGATGGCACTGAGCAGGCGTATCCAGCACTGTGGCGTGCGGGTGTCGGGCAGGCAGTCTCCCACGGCCTCGTTTTCTCCATCCCCAGCTATCCTCGGGGTTCTTTAAGGCCGTTCATATGAAAATTCCGAGTTGACTCTTTTAGAAACGCCACCAATTTTAACCACCTACTTATCCAACACTCACCTAACCAAGACTCTGCCTCCCAGTTGTCTCGTGAGCTCGTCACCTGGACAACCTTCTGTGCTTCCTGTTTCCTCTCAGTTATGTATAAATTCCCAGCTGCTCAACAGAGTGCAGACATGACAGTATTTCGTGTCTGATGAATTGCACTGTAGATCTACTTAGAATGTCAAAGTCAAGGGGATGAATTTAAGCTGCAGTTCTCAAAATCCTTTCTCTATGAATCCCTTCATATCCTAAAAATTACTGAGGATCCTAAAGAGATTTTTTGTTTGTGTGTTTGTTTGTTTAACATCGCTTGATGTTTATTCTGATGGCCAACAGTGTCCTCATGTAAAACTATGTACGATAGAAAACAATTCATAAATAAAAATTAAAATTCTGTTCAAAAAAACAAGAAATGTCCAGATCAGGCTAATCTACAGAGACAGAGAAAGGAGATGGGTGGCCGCCAGGACAGAGGGTTGGGGAAAGGAGAAGTGACTGTTGACGGGTGCGTTTCTTTTCGGGTGAGGAAATGTTCTAAGATGAATCGTGGCAGCCGTTACCCAACTCTGGATCCACTAAATCGTTGACTTATACGTTGAAGTGGGTCAGCTGTACCACATGCGAATGCTCTTAACGAAGCTACTAAAACCACGGGAAGCCCCTGATCAAACCATGATCTTGGGCCTCACAATTAACAGCAGCGTCCTTTTGGTGGTGGTTGTTTTCTGGGGGTGGAACCCAGGGCCTCCGAGAGCCAGGCACACGCTCTACCATGAGCTCATTTCTTAACACTGGAGGGCAAGCCTCGGGTGGCACCTCCTTTGCTGACCTCCTTGATCTCCCCACACTGTCCAGCCAAGCGCTGTGACACTGTCCCTTGTCTCCTCCACCTGCTGTCCCCTGACGCACTCTCCCTCACACTCGAGTTCTCACCGATCCGACAGCTCCTGGCTTAGGGCCGACCTCCAGGCCCTTTCTGACTGCAACCCCCTCCTGCCCCTGCAGCCTGGGGAGGCGCCTTCTCCTCTGCTGTGAAGGCCCAAGTGTACCTTTCACTCCCCTACGTCACCCTCGCAGCAACCCAAGGGTGGCAACCTGTTCCCATTTCAGAGACGAGAAGACACCAGACTCACAGCAGCGATGTGATGGAGCTGAGTGTGGACGCTCCTGACCCCTGTGCTGTCAGGCACAGTGTCCTTGGACCCCCAAATCAGCAGTGCTCACACCACAGCTCCGTCTCCACCCCCAGACTGTCCAAGCTCCGAGGTCGAGAGCCCGCTTGCTGCCTCCAGGCCGCCCGCTCCCCACCTTCACAGCTGTGCAACCCAGGGCCAGTTCCTTTACCCCCCTGGGTTTCAGTTCCCTCATCTGTCAAATAGGGAAAGTAACTATCTCTGTCACAGGGTTGTTAAGAGGACTAGATGAGGTAAAAGCATGTCCAGCCCTTGGAACCGAGCCAGGTACACAGCAGGCACTCAATAAACTGCTGCAAATGTTCTTACGTCTCTATGGCATTGCCCAGCATGAGGCTGGACCTACTGGGGGACTCCAGGCAGCCCCTCCAGAGCTGGCTGGAAGTCAGTGAATGCAGCTGGAGGAAGAGAAGGGGGTACACCTGGCCTGGAGGCCAGCACAGCCACTGTCCCCACCCGACTCTGCCACCAGGGACTACTCACGGGAAGGTGGATGCTGCAAAGCAGAAAATGGAGATCAAGCCCAGGCCCACGCTGGCCTCGTCCCAGGCGTCCTGGGCACATTCGCCGAACACATCCCATATCCACTGGCTGGATCCATTGGGGCAGCTGGAGAAGTTGCCAGGGCCCAGTTTCCTCCGGACCATGGCTGCAGGGAGAGGGGCCCCCGCCTGCGAGGGCTGCGTGGGAGAAGGCGCTGGCGTGCAGAGCAGGCGAGGGTTGGTCCTACAGGGAGAGAGAGGAGGCCTCAGCGGTGGAAGGTCCAGCTCCTGTCCATGGTCATCCCGACCTACGTTGCCTGGGCCCAGTCATCTGCCCCTGACCAAGCCCCTGAGCCAGAAGAGGAGGAAGACACAGTTCTCCCCCACAGGATGCAATGGCCTCTGGGGACACAGATCAAATCAAGCTCTGACAACCTCAAACATGCACTGGGGGAGTGCAGGGGCTGTGGTCGGGACAGGTGCATTCACCTCCCAGCATCTCACTAGGCAGCACTTCCACCGTGGGCCAGTCTTGGCCTCTCAGGCCTTGGCCCTCTCCTAAGCAGTGGGGTAGCGACAGGGCCTGCCTTGAATGGCTGCTGTGCTGCTTAAGTGCGTTCAGACAAACAGCATGTAGAATTGGGTCCCCAGGGTGATCTTTTGTTATAACCCATAAACATTTAGGTTGATTCTGTTTTTGCTGTAAATTATTCTGGGAGGGTCTGTGAGGCCAGGCCTGTTAAGTTCATGATCTCATTGGAAGGACAGCTGCCTATGCATTGGTCAGATGGCTTGGATCCACACACAGGAGTCCCCCCTAGGAGCTCCTGTTGTGGCCCATGGGAATCGACGGCCACCTCCCAAGCCAGAACATGGCTGGCATAGGGGCCAGTAGAGAAGGTCCCTCCCAGGACAGAGTAGAGCCATCATGCCTGAGTGATAACCTACAGGGGAGAGGAAGCAGGGTCTGGCCAGGGCCACCTTCATCCATGACAGTCACCACCATCCTAACTGCCGGACTCTGTGCTAGGCACCTGTCCAGTATTTTCTGTGCTCATCAGGGACCACTGATTGAGGTCAAACTAGCAGAGGGCTGTGATCTGCCAGGCCACCCAGATAGGAAGCAACGGAGCCAAGCCCAGGACGGAGACCTGCCACACCCCACTGCCTCAGATGCTTCTTGTCCCAGCTAGTGCTGCTGGCTTCTGGCAGAGGAGAAACCTGGCTTCCCCTTTTCTCGCTGTGCCAAGAGGGAGTTTCCTCACCCAGGCTGGGGGTGTGCTCCAGCCACCTCAGTTCCCACTTGTGCGGGGGGGCCCCGGGCTCCTCACAAAGCAATGCCCTGGCTGGATGCAGGGAAATGCTGAGGTCGCAGGGATGGGGCAGCGTCAGGGAGGAAAAGGAAGCGAGTCAGCTCCTTTTCTTAGGAAGCTGAGGTTCTCAGTCCAAATGCGACTAGCTGTGCTCAGAAGCCCTGGCTCTGAGGGCAAGGGCGTCCCAGGTCACTGTCTGCCCTGCTCATTGCAGTATCTCCAGGGCCAGGCTCAGGGTGGCAGAAAGCCTCCTCCTGGATCTCGGTGGCTACCCTTAATGGAAGCATATACCTGATGTCTGTCACTGGCACCCACAAGGCCACCATGGTTAACACTCGGTCCAGGTAAGAACTGGATGCCACAGGCATTTAAAATCCAGTCCTTTTGCTCCCCAGCCAGCCCCTCACCTGGACTGCCTCCCTCGTCCTCCCCCGTGGATTCTAAGCATGCCCCTGCAGTGCATCACGTGTCAGCACATGGTCATTAGAAGGCACACACTCAGATAGTAACCTTCAGGGAACACTGACCCATTTTACAGATGAGGATGAGTGGACTTGGGCAAGTGAGTTAATCTGTCTGAGCCCATCTATAAAACAGGGCTAATGACACTCCATCCTTGGGGTGGCTGGGGTGACGAAATGCACATGACCCTCTCGGTCCATGTCTGATCCAACACAGGCTAATGTCTGATGTAAACAAGAGAGTCCAGTATCTTGACCACCCTGGGGCCTCTTGCTCACTCCCTCCTTTCACCAGATTAAGACAGAAATAGGGTGGACAGGGATTCTGGGTTCCCGCAGGACCCTCTGCTCAGCTTCTTAAAGAATCCCGGTGCACACGATGCACTTTGAGAAAGGCTGGGCTGGAGAGAGCATCTCTAGCCCCACCCAAACCTTCTCCTGGATCCCAAGGGAAGACAGAGAGATGACTTCCCACCAAAGCAGAGCAAGTGTCCACCTTGGTTTACCGGATCAAGCTAAAGTCCTTGAGGGCAAGGCCCCAAGACACCAGAACTGCCCTCTTAACTTTATCTCCTGCTCCAAGTCCTCAAAGAGTCATTTCAGGGTTAGACATCTTCACATGCTTTCTCTTTCCCTAATAAGGCCCTTATCACCCTTGAAGGCCTGGCAAAGACATACTATGAGCCAGTTCTGAACTGCCCTATCCAAGAGGCCTAGCAAGAGGTAGCCAGACAGGACCTGCTGCCTCCTTCCCTGCCATAGGCCACACACGAAGAAGGCTTACCCACAGACCTCAGCCAACCACTGCTGTTTACACGCGCTCTTCCCTTAACCTGGTTGTGTACTTCCTATTCTCACAGCCTGTGACACCAGGTGCACAGTAAATGTTGACAGGGAGAGAAAGGAAACAGGAGGCAGGAAAAGAGAATCATAAAGGAGGAGAAAGAGAGAAAAAAGAGAAAAGAGAAAACAAAAGGAAAGAAGGGCAATGTTGTGATCTCAGAGGGCCTGGGATGGAGGGCAAGAGCTAACCTGCCTGCTGCCTGCCAGAGCTGGATGAGATAACCCAGAGCCAGCCGTTAGAAGGGTGCTCAGCACAAGGCACACACTCGAATAGTAACCTCCAGGGATGGCTATTTGTCTGCTCTTGCTATCCCACTCCCACCCCACTCCAACCCACCCGGGTCCCAGGCACAGAGTAGCCTTCAGTAAGCTGAATGGACAAGACCCTGGCCAGTCCTCACATATCTAAATCCACACTCCCGCAGCACACACGTGGACCCTTGCTCTAAGTATGGCGTGGGAGGGGCCCATCTGGGCTCCCCTCCCTGCATACCTGGGCAGAATGTGGCGTGGAGCGTCCTGGCTTGAGGATTCCACCCACTCCAAGCCTCCGGAGCGGCGGCCACAACTCCCTCCTGGTGACTCAGCCTGGCGCGGGCCGCCTGTTTAGAAGGATAATGACAGGGCGGCCGCTGGGGCCAGCGCCGCGAGCCCCCCTCGCCCGGCCCGCCCGGGGGAAAACAAAGCCATCGAAAGCCAGGGGGCCCGTCGACCGCGACCAGCAGTGAAAGAGGACTCAGACCCCAAACACTGGCCAGGCCAGCCCAAGAAGCCGTGGTGATCGCCCCCGAGGTGGGGGCGACCGGGGCCCTGAGGGCTACCCAGTGCCGGCCCGGTGTCTCGCCCCAGGATCTCGTGCCACAGGAGGGGACAGAAGCCCGAGACCGTGCAGAGGCTGGAGTGAGATGCTGGAAAGACGTGCAGAAAGCACCAAGAGTCCCGACCCCCAGCCTTGGGGTCCGCTGTCAGCCCCCAGCCACCTCACCAGGTCGAGATCCGCCGCGGGACCAGGCTTCTGGGTTTGGTCCCAGCCTGGGTCAGCTGACAGAGCGCCGTCGCCAGGTCCCGAGAGCCGCGAGGCTCCGCCTCTTACGCCGCGCACTTGGCAGACGGTCCCTGGAGGCGTCTCGGCGCGGCGTGTGTGCGCCGGAAAGCACCGCGCGCCCTGGCCTCGCTCCCTTACCCCAACGCTCCTCCCACGTTGTAGGCGGGGCCCGCCAGTGCGCAAGCGCAGTCCCATGCTGCTCATAGCGTCCCGAGCCGTGGGCCGCGCTGCGGTCCGCACTGCGAGTGGTTTGGATCGGTCGGGCGCTCTCACTGTCATCATGTCCCAGCCACCGCCGTCTCCTCGGGCTGCCTCGGGCGCCCGGGCCCGACCTGCCACGGTGCTGGGCACCATGGAGATGGGTCGCCGCATGGACGCGCCCGCCAGTGCCACGGCAGTGCGCGCCTTCTTGGAGCGCGGCCACACCGAACTGGACACGGCCTTCATGTACTGCGACGGCCAGTCTGAGAACATCCTGGGTGGCCTGGGGCTCGGGCTGGGCGGCGGCGATTGTCGAGGTAACAGTCGCGCCGGACCTTACCCCGCCGGGTGCAGAGCTCAATCCCTCCTCCCCTAGCGGTGCAGTGGCCGCGGTGGTCATCGATGCCCCAAGCCCCTCCCTGCCTGGCCCGGCTCTGTGAACTCCAGGCTCCTCAGGCCATCTAGCTTCAGACAACTGAATAGTGCTTTACTTCCTTTCCTCTTCTCTGGTAGCTGCAATCTCGGTGGCCCCTATCCTGTATCCATGCACGCCACGAGCACCCTTTTCTCTTTCTGGTCTTTGACCAGTCCCTAGACTTTGTCCTTTGCATCTAGCAGTGCCTCTGGAGCTCACGGAGAACTGTAGGAATGCCAAGGGCCCAGTTGAAGAAGTAAGGGTGGTGAGGTCTGGGGGTGAGAATAAGGCTTCTGTGTCTGCTCTGTGTCAGGCTTTGTCATGCCTTTGTGGGAGGGAAGGTGACCAAGCCACTGAGGGCTCTGAGTCCAGTGGGGCAAATGAAGCAACCATTGCACCATGGGGTGCAGAAGAGAGCACTTTAGGGGAGGCAGTAGGGAGGGCTCAGAGAACATGATCTGGGCATTAAAGGGTCATTAGCACTTTCCTTGAAGGAGAATAAGAGAAAGGGCATCCGAGGCACAGGGCAGAGCCGGGCAGAAGACAGCTTGGGAATGCAAAGTTCATGGTATGTGGAAGGATGGCCACATGTGGCTTGACAGGGATGCTGTGAGTGGGGACTGCCCCTCATTAGCTCAGTGCCACTGGAAGTGCCCAGGAAAGTGCCTGGCCTCCTCTTTACCATCCTGAGGCTCCTCCTTCCCATTCCTGAGGAGTGGTCTCTGTGGGCCCTCCTTGTCTTCACAACTTGGTGGATCTAGAGAGACAGATGGGAATGTGTCTCAGGCCACGCTTTCTCGTTCATTGGCTCCCTCTCACTGATAATGCAGATTTTGTTTCTGGATTGTTTTTTCTTCTCCAGTCCTTCCCTGCTTCCTTCTTTGAGGCCCGGGATTCACTGGACCAAAGTCCTCAGACCAGACTTGAGGCAAAGTTCACACAAGAATGCCTGAGGGGGTGGGGGGCTATGGGTGAAGAAACTGTGGACTTTTCTCCCATATCCAGAATGATCAGGGTCAACCTGGTGAGTTGACTTTGCCAAGTATGAAAAATGCAGAATCTCTCCACTCTTCAGTCTAGATAGCTGGGATGCTTTACAGGGGGAGGAACAGGGTTAAGTTAGCTCATGCCAAGTTGCTTGGATGGCAGAACACGGTCGTTCTCATGGGGGTATTGCCTCTGCAGTGCACGGTGGCTGTGGCAGGTCTAAGAGTCTGGAAGGGAGAGGGATTCTGCCTGCTGTTCAGTCTCCCTCTCTCTTTCAGATTGGTCCATGCCAGGGGCTCACATTCAGGTGCCACCATCTCTTAAATACTGCGATGGCCTATTTACTGGTCTCCTGCTTCCAGGCCTGCTCTCCAGAGTTCCTTCTCCATCCTGCAGAGGGAACTAGCTGAATGGTTCACACCCAAGAAAACATGGGAATGATCAAGTCCAGATTCAGGGGGATGGTATTTGAGGTGGAGTCTGTGTCCCCATCTCTTGTCTCATGTCCCCTGCCCTGGAATTGACAGGCTTATAACTCGGAATTGGACCTGTGCTGCCTCACAGCTGTGTTTTCTTACCTCTGGGACTTTATGTCCCCAGGCTTGTCCTTTGTTGGCTAAGACTCACTCTTGGGCACTCCACTTGAGATCATCCCTGGAGAAAGCCTCCCCTGGATTCCAGGATTGGCCTCGTGCCTCTCTTTGGGTTCCTGTGGCACTATGCACATTTCTCCTACTGCACCTAACCATACCGTAGTGACACCCTCTAGACTGTGACTTCCACAGGGCAGAGATCAGTGTGCTTAGTTCATTGCTGCCCCTAAGTCTCTAGCACAAGGCCTGGCAAAACCAGCAGTTTGGTGACTAATGATGGTGATTGGAACAAAGGTGAATATTGAGACCTTAGACATTAATTACTACTCATGACATCCATGTGGAGACAGGTACATTATTGTCACCCCATTTTACAGATTAGGGAATTGAGACTCAGGGAACTTAAGTAATTTAGCCAGTTATATGTCCACTAAGTGGCTCTAGTAAGTCTCTTAACCATTACATTCTTCTCCAAGTGAAAATTGCCACGAAAGCCAACCCTTGGGATGGAAAGTCACTGAAGCCTGACAGTCTCCGGTCCCAGCTGGAGACATCACTGAAGCGGCTGCAGTGTCCCCGAGTGGACCTCTTCTACTTGCATGCACCTGACCACGGCACCCCCGTGGAGGAGACGCTGCGTGCCTGCCACCAGCTGCACCAGGAGGTGAGGGTGGCCCCAAACTCTGGGCGGTCACCTCTGCTCTGCTCCTCATCTTGGCACTACCAGAAAAATCGGGCACCCAGAGCAGAGCTGGGGACACACCCGCCACCCCAGTGCCCCCTTCCTGGTCTCCTGGTTCTGACTGTGTTCTCGCCCCCACAGGGCAAGTTCCTGGAGCTTGGCCTGTCCAACTATGCCGCCTGGGAGGTGGCTGAGATCTGTACCCTGTGCAAGAGCAACGGCTGGATCCTGCCGACCGTGTACCAGGTGAGGCTCCCTGGTGTGCCAGGGCTGCAGAGGCCCCGGGCTCCAGGGCTCTGCTGCTCCCAGGTTTCCCTGCCCCTCTGACTGGCCCCTGTGCCCTCTACCTATCAGCCACACCCCTGCTCAGAGCCTGTGGGAGGCTCCCAGGTGCCCTCAGGCCGAGCTCCCCAGCCTGCCCTGGGCACGAGCTTGCTTCGTGCTTCAGTGCGCACCTTGATCCCTTCCTTCCATGCCCCGCTCCCTGGGAGAGGTGCTCAGGTCTCAGTTAAGTGGCTCTTCCTCTGGGAGCCCCTCCTCACAGTCCCAGGAGCCTCCAGTCGTCAAACCTCATATGTACCCACTGTGATCTTGTAATTCTCTTTGTCTTTTGGAGGGAGAGATTCTGGGGACTGAGCTCAGGACACTTTACCATTGAGCTACATCCCTAGCCCTTTTTATTTTTATTTTTTTAAACATCTGTTTTTTGTTTGTTTGTTTTTTTACTTGTAGTTGGACACAATACCTTTATTTTTACGTGGTACTGAGTGGAACCCAGGGCCTCGCGCATGCTAGGCAAGCACTCTATCGCTGAGCCACAACCCCAGCCCCACCAGTCCTTTTTATTTTAATTTTTTTATTTTTAGTACTGGGTATCTAACCCAGGGGCTTAATGAGCCACATTCCCAGCCCTTTTTATTTATATACTTTTTTGAGATAGGGTCTCACTAAATTGCTAAAGCTGGCCTTGAACTTGCCATCCTCCTGCCTCAGCCTCCTAAGTCACTGAGATTATAGTGTGTGCCACTAGCCTCAGATTTTCTTATTTTTAGTTGTATTGGGGATAAAGCACATTCATTATACATGCTAGGCAAATGCTCTACCACGGAGCTACCCCCCAGCCTTTTGTCTGTTTTTTAAAAATTTGATTATAATATCTCTTAGAGGCAGAGATTTTGCCAGGCTTGTCAGTAGTTGTAAATCCAGTATTCAGCCCATAGAATGGGACCAATAGATATTTATTGAATGATAAATGAAGGACAGTTTCTCTTCCCTGGGCCCAACACTTCTCTTCACTTCATACCGATACTAGTGTTTAGAAATAATTGCTGAATGCTGGGTGTTCTGGTTCACACTTGTAATCCTGGCTACTCTGGAGGCTGAGGCAGGAGGATCCCAAGTTTGAGGCCAGCCTGGGCAACTTAGTGAGACCCCATCTCAAATAAAATAAAAAGGGCTGGGGATATAGCTCAGTGGTAGAGTACTTTCCTAGTATGAGGCCTTGGGTTCAATCTTCAGTATTAGGGGGGCGGGGGGAGAGAGAAAGAGAGAGAGAGGGAGGGAGGGAGAGAGAGGGAGGAAGAGGAAGGAAGGAAAGAGGGAAAGAAGGCCTAGGGGCAGGAAAGACTGGGCTGGTGTGGACTTAGAGTCATACAAGAACAAGACGGTGGCACACACTATGCTCCCAACTACTCTGTGGGCTCAGACAGTAGGAGCACTTGAGCCCAGGAGCTCAAGGCTGCCTGAGCCACATAGCAAGACCCTGTCTCTTAAAACAAACAAACATAAAACAGCTCAAAAATTTTTTAAAAATGTTTTTAATAAAAGGAAGGCTGGGTTCCTTTCCTTGATACACCCACCTTCTCCAACTGCCCCTTCTCCCTGCAGGGCATGTACAACGCCACCACGCGGCAGGTGGAAACAGAGCTCTTCCCCTGCCTCAAGCACTTTGGACTGCGATTCTATGCCTACAACCCTTTGGCTGGTATGGGCTGCCCTGGGACAGGGCCCTCTGGGGGGGAGGGGGTGGGCATTCCTGGCCCTGTCTCTGCCTATTCCTGCCCAGGTAGATGCCCAGCCCAGGCCCTGGGAAGTAGAGGGGGCTTTGACAGATGCTGGGCTTCACCCCTCGTCCCTCCTGGGTCCCTCCTGCTCCTCAGTCCATATCTGTGAGGGGTGTCAGCCCTGGGAGCGGCCT